GCACATTAAAAAATATTCGAAAAAATTCAAAAAAAAAATCTAGTGCATTGACACAAGATCAATGTATGTTGTCACAGAATTTTAATTCAATATTTGAAACATTGCTCGAGATACAAAAATAACAAAATTGACACTGAATAGTACGTAACACAAGTTGGACTTCAGTTTTGGCCCATTAGCACATTGAGGTCAATTTTATCATTTTTGTATCTTGAGCATTGTTTTGAATTTTTATGACAACATACATTGATGTTGTGTCAATACACTAAATTATTTTCGAATTTTTTTAAATATTTTTGAATGTGCAACGGGATCCGGTGCACCGGTAGCACCAATTGTTTCCGGTGACGGCACTGCCACATCGTTTCCGGTTCCAGGTCGTTCCCAAGTTCTGTTGAGAGGCTTTGTACAAAATCAACCGATCCAAATTACAATTTCAGTCAACTGATCGATAGCAAAAAAACACAAGGGAGACGGAAAAACAAGAGACGAGAAAGCGGTCAAGGACGTACACGGGCGCCAGTCAGTGTGCGAATAGTAAGCGAGGCTCTGGCACAGACCCTGATCGCCTCACATGAGGGAGAGGCGAGCAAATGCGTTCAGTTCTCACATGCCAAACCCTGCCACCACACACCCCCCTCTCCAATCTCCACCCAACACCCAACCGCACGCACAAAACGCCCCCCGTTCGCGTACGGCATCCCGCACCACGCATAACGCCGCGCGAAACCACGGAGAGGCCGTGGAAACGTTCGCTGGGAGACCCAAACCCCCGTCCCGTATCCGGGAAACGGCGGCGAGGCGTGGGGGAGACGATCCCCGAGACCCCGTACCGTACCGCGCGCACCAAACGCCGTGCCCATGTAAATACCACACCGCAACGCAGTTCGCAGCTCGCTCGCGCACCGCACCGCACCCACCCACAGCACCGCGTCCCGATGCCCCAGCCCGCCAGCCCAGCCTGCTAGTAGCTCTGTAGCTCGCCATGTCGGCGTCGTCGGACCCCTCGCCGTCCTCCTCGGCGGCCGCGGCGGCGTCGGCGTCCCCGCTCGCCGCCTACCACGCGCACCCGCACCACCCCCACCACCACCTGCACCTCTCCACGCCGCCGCCGCACGCGTACCCGCCCGCGGCGCCGCCCCCCTCCCCGGCGTCCGCGCCCAGGGACTACCGCAAGGGCAACTGGACGATGCACGAGACGCTCATCCTCATCACCGCCAAGCGCCTCGACGACGACCGCCGGGCCGGTGGGGGCGCGGGCGGCGTGGCCATGGCGGGGCCGTCCTCGCCGCCCACGCCACGCTCCGCCGAGCAGCGCTGGAAGTGGGTCGAGAACTACTGCTGGATCAACGGCTGCCTCCGCAGCCAGAACCAGTGCAACGACAAGTGGGACAACCTCCTCCGCGACTACAAGAAGGTCCGCGACTACGAGGCCCGCCGCGCCTCCATCGCCGCCACCCCTCCCGTGGACGGCGCCCCGGCACAGCCGCCGACGCCGCTCCCGTCCTACTGGACCATGGAACGGCACGACCGCAAGGAGCGCAACCTGCCAACCAACCTCGCCCCGGAGGTCTACGACGCGCTCCTCGACGTGCTCTCCCGCCGCGCCGCGCGCCGGGGCGGCGCCGCGATCGCGCCCGCGGCTCCAGCCCCGCTCGCCCTGCCGCCCCCTCCTCCACCACCACCACCGCCACCCTCCCCGCCGAAGCCTCTCCTCAACCAGCAGCAGCAGCAGCAGCAGAAGCATCATCGTCTTCACCCTCAGCCTCCGCCACTGCTGCAGCTCCCGGCGCCCGCGCCACAGCCGTCGGTGCCGTCGGCGACGTCCGTTTCCGGTAATGCCCGGCGCGCGCCCGTTCCTACTTAACCCAAGCATCCGTTACCAGCTTAATCTATCCATGCATTTGTTTACTGTTCTTCAACTGACACGCGGGCCCGCGCGTTATGATTGGGCTGGCAGATACTTAATCTAGGAGTACTTGCATTGAGGGCTGGCGTAATTATTTACCTCATGCGTTGCGCCGGGGCGTCACGTGATCGCTTTTTAACCTTTTTACTGTGGGTTATTCCCCCTTGCTCCCGGCCGGCGCACCGTGGTAGCGGTAATAATAATGTGGGTCGCCGTGCCTGCTGGAGTAAAGCTGCATGCAGTCCACGCACGGCAGTAAAGTTGGCCCAGAATCCAGCTATTTTCAGGGGTTTAGCTTCAAGAAATATTACTAGTACTTTGACACGTAACAGTAGAGTACAGGAGTGGTATTGTATTGTATTGCTCGGTGCCTCTGGCATCTACCAGACTACCACTATAGCTATAGTTAGATAGGCCTGAGATGCTGCTGCTGCTGCTAGTGTATCATCTTTGCATGCAAACACTTTAAAAAGCCTGGGAGAAATCCATTCGGCGAAAGCCTGAAGCCTCGGAGCAACTGACGAGCTCGCAAGCATGCGAGAAAGAAAGCACCTTTCCCGCCTTCCGTTTCCAATCTCCTCTTCTCGTCTCCACTTTTGTTCTTGGCTGCTTCTTTTGTTCTTTGTTTGCCTAGTGTTAATCCGGTTTGAAGTGTGGTGCTAATGTCTACTTACAAGTTACAATGATGCTAAGCTAACAGAGTGATCATGATCTTTTTGGTTTAACAAGTTTTGTTGTGTGTACGCAATGCGCTACGCAGCCGAGGAGGAGATGACGGGGTCGTCGGAGAGCGGGTCGGACGGCCTGGGCCTGGGCGGGATGTCGGGAGGCGTCGGCGGGAACGGCGACGAGCCGGAGGCGAAGCGGCGGCGGAGGGCGGAGCGGCTGGGGTCGAGCGTGGTGCGGAGCGCGACGGTGCTGGCGCGCACGCTGGTGGCGTGCGAGGACCGGCGGGAGCGGCGGCACCGGGAGGTGCTGGAGCTGGAGGAGCGTCGGCTGCGGCTGGAGGCGGAGCGCAACGAGGTGCGGCGGCAGGGCTTCGCGGGCCTCGTGGCCGCCGTCAACGGCCTCTCCGGCGCCATCCACGCCCTCGTCGCCGACCACCACGGCCGCAGCGGCGACTCCTCCAAATGATCCCCCGCCCTCCATGCCGCCATCATCAACCAGTCGTTACTTTTTGCACCATGAAGCCTGCGGAGCAAGCGAGCAAACGCATGCAAGATATGACAGCGTCGGCATCAAGATTTGGAACGGGGTCGATGGATTCTTCGGGTCAAGGGACCGGGATGTAATTAAGGGCTATTGTTGGGAGGCTGGGCCGTGATTGAGTCGTAGTGATGACTTAGCTAGAATTTCATTTGGTCCGTAATGGTATATTATGATGGAGCCAAGCCGTAGCAAATGCATGCCCATGTCGCTGTGCAGTGGTCGTGATGTTGGCGTTGCTGGGTTTTGTTCGGGTCTGTCGGTCGTGGACCGTGATGATTAGCAGCCTAGCAAGGTCGCTGCATGCTGTCATGTGATCGCCGGCAGTAGGGCCTACATGCACCTCTCTCTCTATCTGTGTAGATCAAGTGCGATAGCTTTAGGACGGAATGCCGCTTTTGCCCTCGTGTTGCATGCATGCATGCAAGCATCATGCCTGCATGTCACCTACGGTACCTACTTGCGGCGTTGTATTGGATCGGGTCGTACTACGTACATGTATGATTGTTCAACGACGAGTGTACTCAATGCAATCACCTGCCCAGCTACGCCCTTCTCCGATCATGCACAAAAAAAAAAAGCTAGGCCCTTCTCCCGTGGACTTGACTGGCGTACCTAACGTGCCGTAAGTACACGTATCTTACGGCCACGCTCCGCTGTCGTCGTTCGTCGATCTCTCTCCAAGTACTCGCGACAATGTGTCCACTCGCCTTTCCCCGTAAAGGCAGCTTGTACTAAAATTAGTACTCATATATCTTGTGAATTAAGTGATCCTGCTACATATATCTTGTGAATTAAGTGATTTTTGGCACACCTATACATTTCAAAAGAGGAAGACAACCACAACGTATAATATGCTTACACATCGGCCACTCTATCTAACTGATAAAACTCAATGATACCCTGCGCATTGCTACAGAAATTGTAACAAGAAGACCGGATTTAATAGACAAATGCAATGTAAATAATCTAAAAATACATGTTAACCATGTTGTCTCTCAGCTAAAGTAGAAACCATTTCATGAGATTCAACAATGCACAACTATCTTATTTTTGACTAAACGCAAAACATGTATGTCTCATGTCTAGCCAATGCTCTGTGTTTCACAAACAAATTATTTCATGTATACAGAGTTTATCTGTGAAAGCTTATGATCACACCCGTAGCTCAGAGATGATGACATCATGCAAACAGCCTTGAATGTATTGTGTTCATGGGAGTACATGCAATAATAATCACATCAGACACACAGCATTGTAAGAACATACTCCTTTCATCCCAAAATAAGGGACTCAACTTTGTACTAACTTTATACCATATCAAACCGAAAGAAGACACATGCAGCAGCCAAAGGAACAACACTATAATAAGGCACACACATACCCAAGGGATATGCATGATAAATAATGTAAATACGGAATGATATGCTAATGGCACGCAATGGAAGAAGTACATAAAACAACAACTACCTCCTAAATGACATTCCATACAATCATTATCATAAGTAGGACCACCGAGTTTATTCTATTCACACGACATAGCCATTTGGTAGCAGTCGTGGCAACACCCACGACTGATCAAGCTAATCCTCTATAAGATCCCATGAGTCATGACCTTGTAATGAAAATCCTGCAACACAAACCCATTCAAATTCTTTGTAAACTAAGCCCTACAGTGCAGCATTTCATCAGAGCTAACTTCTAAAGCAAAAGGCTAAAGACCAGGATAAACTAGACAACATAAAGGAGAAAATAGCCAACCCATGCAGGTTTCTAGGGGGCATTTCAAAATGAGCACAGAAGACAGCAAGCTCACCCACCCAAATCGTTGTTATTCTAAAACCAATTACTAAAGTGATATAAGATGGGGTACACAAAAAAAATTTTGTTGATCAAATAAAGCAAATAATCTATGTGCTCGGTAGGGAATTTTATAGTTCTAATTATAAAACAGAAGAAGCACATTCATGCATTATATGTCACACATCCTCGAAGAATTTGTTGGGGTTGCCTTACCTCACACGGTGGTGGATTAACGAGCTGCTCGGCTTGTTAAGCTCGTACTCATTAAGGCTCGGCTCGTTAAGCTTGTTAAGACTAACGAGTAGAAAACCTTGCTCGGTTCGGTTCGTTTGTAGCTCGTGAGCGCTCGCTAGTGCTCGTTAACAGATTTTGATGCATCACGATATACATGTGAGTGTATAGATGTAGTTTTCAAGAACGAAGATGGTGACTACAAAAGGAAATGCATTAGTTTGTTGCTTCCTATGTACATTAGATTGAATAGATGTGTTGAGGTGCTACGAAACTTTGTCATGTATGATGAAAATATATGTTGTGTTGTTACTAACGAGCTTAACGAGCTACTCTTGAAACTCGTTAGTTTGTTCGTTAAGCTCATTAAGCTTAACGAGCTGAAATTTATGATTGGCTTTATTCATTGAGAAGCGAGCCATGAGCTTATAACAAGCCAAACTATTGAGCGCTGATTAAGCTCACGAGCTACAAGCTTTTGGTCCATCCCTACGCGGCATACAGGGATACAGGAGCACCGTGATCTAGCCTACATGCCTGTATAGGGGGTGGAAGCCCGCCCTGCACGTCCGGGTGATGCCGATTGTAACTAATGTTCCTCTTTCTTGGTTATTGATAGGCTCATCAGTTACAAAGGCACAAGAGCAAATGATTGTTCACTTTAGGAAAGGGTACACACTAAACAAAAATCTAGTCACACGATTTAACTGAAAAAAGAGGTAAAGCTAAGGTGGCAACCTGTTGAGGTGGATAGGCTACATGTCAAGAGAAATTAGATAGTGAGGATGAACTATTTAGATATTATAAATATCTAGAGGCGCAACAGAAGATCAACTCGACTTTTTTAGGCTAATCACGTGCTTTATTCATTAACTTCAAATTTCGAGTATACAATTGATGTCGGGCCGCTGTAGGAGCCAAAGATGGTGCCCTACCGATAAGCTAAGCGCATACTTAGCGAGGCTATGTGCAGTGGCGGAGCCACCGCCCAGCGACCCTGGGCACTTGCCCAGGCTCGCTAGTCCTCGATAGCAGCGATCGATCCAGATTAATGAGGCGCTAAACATGTTCAGTAGCTTGTTTACCCGGGCAAAAAACAACTGGGCCTTGGATTCTCAATATGTTCACGGCCCAAGAGCAATCTGCAGTGCGGATACAGAGACACGCGAGGGAATACATAGGATGCACGGATCGATCGCTCGAACTCCTTGTCTCTTCGTTTCCACACAAGCGGCGAGCGCAGGGACTGGCGGCTGGCGCTAGAGCCCTAGACGGCTAGACGCACGACCGTCGACCGGCGGCGAACGGACGCAAGGCGCACTAGGAAGTCTACTCGTCCCTCAACCCCCTCCTTCCTCTCACTCGGCTTTGGCTTCGGCTTCGTTCGGTAAGAAACTGAGAATCTTCCATCAGAATTAGGGTTAGCTGGCTAGGGGTCCCTCGTCTCTGAATAATTTGTTCTTGCAGAATTAATTGGAAGGAGAGATTCTTGCGCCAGCTCACATCACTGAACTTCTCTAAGTAGGGAAAAGAAAACAGATTACAGATTACTCTGTGCTTATTTTCAGGTTAGGGCCTCCGAAAGTATTGATCCTCATATGACTTTTCTCATGTATAAGTATTTATTTTCAGGTCAATTAATCTGTAGTGGAACTAAATAATTAGCAACTGCTTTGTACATCTGATTTGTATTTGAGAACTTTGTCGTGTTCGTTAAACCCTATCTTAAATGTAGGGATTTTTTTTCATTGGGAACGATTATGAATTCGTGACTAGAGATATATTGTCTTTGTGGGCTGCTAGAAACTAGAAAATCGAAGTATATAAGAAGAGGGCAACTTGTATTCATGCAGTATTTATTACTTTCTAGTTGCTTACTCAGAATACAATATTTCTTTGATGCAAGTAGTTCCATACTATGAACTTGTTACTTGTTGTAGCTCACTTATTATTTACTTGTTTAACAACTACAAACTTTATCATTAAATTTCAGATATGAGGTCAAGCAAGCATTGAAAATGCGAAATGTTAATGATGTGCAACCGCAAATAGGAGTGGAGGCACAACCACCTCGTAACATTACCAATGACTTTAATCCAAATGAGATTGAGCGTGATCCAGGAAATAAGAAACAATTTTTTGAGTATCCTCCTAATATTCAAGACCAAGTGAGAAGAGCATATGTATTGAAGGGCTCAATGCAACCAGATTTGGCTAAATTTCCTCGTACTGAATTTGGAAGTTTACTGCAGTGAGCTCTCGGAAGGAGCATTTGCCTCGTGATTTCCTTTAGTGCACTGTCGGTATGTTCCTTCTGACCACCTCTATTCTTGCAAGCTTTCCATGTTGAATATATTCACATCTCACAACTTAATTTATTTTAATTGCGATTTTTTTATATTGTAGTGCCTTCTAGGACTTTGACAACATGGCGAGTTTACCTCTATGCAAGACTCATTGTACGTTTTTCTTGTGGCAAAAATGAACAAGTGAGAGATGCTTTTGGCCGTGGTGGAAGAAATTGCACAATCACATCTGGTGACATATGGTATGGATAGCTTTAATTTTGTTGGCAACATGGTGAGTTTGGGTCTATGGCGGGTTCGTTATGTATCTTTTGTTGTCATCTCAACTTTATTTGGTCTATGAAGCGGATATTGATATATTAGCTTGCTTTAAAAATTAATTTTGTGTGAAAATTATGGTTATTTTTTCACTTCATTATTAATACAGATTTGTGATTCGGAAGTTTGGTGATATATTATATGTTATGTATCGGAATATCCGATTTTTCATTTCAAGATTATACACTTAGTCTCAACTTGCCCAGGCTCCACAAAAGTTCTGGCTCCGCCACTGGCTATGTGCCCCAATGTTCGATGTCCTTCCTTCGA